GAAACTGTTTGAAAAAGTTGTACGGTGCTAGGTAGAGAAAGAATGTTAAATATTTAAAATGAATTGTTTGAGATTGTTAGAACTTTGCTTGTTGGACTACGGACGATCGCGTATGTAAACCCGTTGTAGTTCCATTAGGCCTTAGAGGGTCATGGCAGGAAGGACAGACCCAAAACGCGAGAAAGGGGTTGGTTCCGCCGTGATTTATTAAGTAAAGAATGTGAAAAGGAAAGAAAGTAAAGAATGTGGAAAGTAAAGAACGTGAAAAAGTAACTTTCTCACTGAGTAATTTCTTTCCGGAATTGCTCATACCTCTTTTTCCCTTTTTAGTGGGTGCATGTATGTTGTTTGTTGAGCAAGTTAGGGCACGGACCTAGGGCTCAAAGTGATCGGGAACCGGTGTCACAAAGAAAATGGCGATTCAATCTACGGTTTTCTTTATGATCCTTCTCTTGCTTGACCAAGAAGAAAACCATCACGACGACTTGTGCGATTCCTCCTCCTCCGACGATTCCCCCGTTGAGAGTCTCTCCGACGAAACCACAACATCATCGGACGAATCGGTTTCTACAGTCTCCTCTAAGACGCTCACGGAGGCTGGCTTCGGTGATCTCGTTCCCGCCGATCTGGTGAATTACGACGGCGATGATGGTGTTGCTCGCGAGGATGAAGACGACGATGGTGCTGATGAAGATTGTTTCGATGACGAGGATCTAGATGATGAGTTGATTCTAAGGAGCGTGAGGAAGTAGCTAAAGAGGCAGAGGTTGTGTAAATCGGGGAAAAGAACCTTCGCGAAGATTCCGTTTACGTAATTGAAACGTGGCTGCATCTACGGCAAACATGGTCTCGGCATCAGCTTCAGGTGCTGATGTTTCTTCCTTCTCTGCGAAATTTCCTTTGAGATTGTGTTCGTCGTCTCTGATCTCAGATTTGTTTTCTCTCAAATCTCAATTGGTGCATTTCTTTAGATGATTTCTGTGTAAATAAATGAGTAGTAGTTTGATTTCTTATCGATTTGGTTTTAGTGTAATTGGATTTCTTTGTAAATCTGACTTTAGATAGATTCTCAGTTCTTGTTGTGTGAATTGAAACGTTTAAGGTTCCATAACAACTTGTGACCTCTTTTTGAAGAAGGATCAATGAAGAACAGTTTCGTTTTTTTAATTATCATTTACACTTTCTTTAGTCTATCAAGATTTGAGATTTTCTTGGGAAAATATAAAATAAAATGTTTGTCTCCTTAACTTATTTCAACCCATTACGACTGATTAAAGATTTATTAGTCAAAATCAAATGGTTTAATAATGAATGAATTACTTCCTCTAATCTAATTCATAACCCAGTGAAGTCCATTGTTTTTCTATAAAAATGTCAAAATATAAGAAATTAATAACTGCCCAATAACACATTTATTTAAGATAAGATAATTTATAAAATACATAATTATATATCAAAAGTATAATCTTATTATATAAATTTCAATTCTTTCAAACTTTTTTCATTGAATAAACACATCTGAAATTAGCAAATTAATTAAATTATTAAAAAAATTTAGTAAATTACTGCAAAATGCAAATGCATACATACTCTCAGAAATATATTTCTGGTCAAAGAGTTGGGATCATTAGGAGTCATAATAGATAATAGGCCCATGAACTAAGCCCATTTAAAAGCCCAGCTTATAATGGCGCCAAAATCAAGCGAAGTCCCGCCTAAATCATCATCTCTTGTCACTAAAAAAGCGCCGAAACCTCCCACTCGTCTCTCTCAACTCTCCGATCAGCCATGGCTTCCGATTCTTCTCCCGGCAACACCAACGACGGTA